AAGAGTGTGGCATTCGAATATACTAACATTCCAGGACTAATCTGCAAGTTTTCAAAGTACAGCACTGACTTCCGTAAGAATACAAGTACTTGCTATTATTTAGTTGAGGCTCTTAAATAGTTTCTCTCATTCTTATCCCTGGGGACACGGGATGCTGGAGATCTAGGCCACCCAGGCCACATAATAGCTCTAGGCTTCAACCCCACCCCCAAGAAAAGAGCCGTCTGGTGTGTAGCATGTGGGCTGCTGAGGGGTGACGGGTGAAAACAGTAACACACACAGCATAACCGCAGCTGCCTGTGGCTGAGCCCTTCCCTGCGTAACCTTCACTGCTGACATGCATCTCATGGCCCGTAGTCTCCAGCTGAGCGCTAACAACAGGGAAACGATGTTCCCTGGAGAAAGAGGGGCAGGCCGTCCGCAGTCTCTGCCACGTACCAAGAGACCCCCCACTAGTGCACAGGCCTCACGAGGACGGGGCGCATATTTGCTCACTGCTATTTCCCCATACCATGCTGGGCCCAGAGATGACCTTTAATAAATATCTGTGGAATGGGTGAATGCATGGAGACTTAGAGCAGTTAAGTAACTCTCACCTGAGGTCACATAACTAGCAGGTTGCAGAGGATGGCTTCTTCCTGAGCCTCTCTGACTCATATTCTTTTTTGTTTTTTGTTTTTTTTTAAACAGAAGAAATTTATTTTCTTACAGTTCTAGAGGCTGGAAGTCTGGGGTCAAGGTGCCAGCGTGGTTGGGCTCTGGTGAGAGCTCTCTTCTTGGCTGGCAGATGGTTGCTTTCTTGTTGTGTCCTCACATAGCAGAGAAAGAGGAAGAGGAAGAGGAAGAGGTGTAAGAGAGAGAGAGAGAGAGAGAGAGAGAGAGAGAGAGAGAGAGAGAGAGACTCACATTCTTAACTGCTCTAATGGGCACTACAGTCAAAGCTGGAGCCCTGCTGCTCATTGGCAGCGTGGCCAGAGCATTGGGTGTCCTCCATGCCCTTGCTTTAGATCAGGGAAGTACTTGCAATGTCAAGGGAGAGGGAAGCTGGGGTCCAGGAGATGCCCCACCCCGAGGTGGCCTCTTAAAATCCAGTCAAGCAACTTTTTTCCACCCAGCTCTCCCCAGTCCAAGTTTCCTGTTCTTTTGCAAACTGCAAGTATTTTGTAACCTCATTCAAAGTATTGTTGCCTAGCAACATGAATGACTCACTTGAGCGTCCCTCCCTGGGCTGTGGAAGCCAAGGGCACGTCTTTGGCAGGGGCTCCGTTTGGCTGCTCCTAAATGGACAGACGCTTCTGTCACCTTAGTCTTGGCCTAAAAACTGACTCATCCACAGAAGAGATAGAACCACTTGTCAGCATAATAACAGTTTTGAAAAAGTTTCATTCTTTAAACGGCCTTGTGAAAAGTGTTTGGACCATATCTGTGATGAAAACAGACCCAGCTTCTGAGAGTCGACCAGTCAGCCTAACGGGGAATTTAGCAGTTTCCTGTTAATTCTCTGCCTGCAGAGGAGCTGGAATACATTAAGCACTTAGAGGGATCCCTGGGACAGAAGAAGGGCTCCAATTTACCCCTGCCCTTCCTCCCCTGTAGTTCATGGTACCCACAGTCTTTCTTTTGTTCTTAGTTGATGTGCTATTTGTTTACAATGGAATTACAACTCCCACTGTGTTCTTAGCCGTTAAAAAGGGTAATTAGAGAGGGAGTTTTCCTTCAAACCATTTTTTTTCAAATATATACCAAAACCATGTAAAAATGATTTATGGATTACCTGCTGTGTAAATTATTTGCATGCTAATGCCACCTACATTTTTAAAAAGTAATTTTCAATTATACAAGTGATACATCCATGAGTAATTTCCTCTTGTTGACAAATTATGGATAAGGCCCAAGTCATCTTTGACTGCCTTCTCCAGGCCCCATTCCTCTCTGGCTCCCATTGCTTTCAGTTTGGGGTTTATCTTTATAGACCTTTTTCATTCCAATCTCACTTTAATTCAAGCAGCATTTATGATGTGCCTGCCACATGCCAGACCAGGGATATTATAAGACAAAAAAATAGCCCTAACCCTTAGAAAGCCCACTGTCTAAGAAGGGAGAGATAAATTCTCAAGAAACAGTAATATGGGGTGATAGTGTAACAGTTGCTAGGAAAAGCCACAGAAAGGAGGTGACTTTAGCATCAGCATTGAAGTATGCTCTCGACTTGTGCAGAGATGAGGTGAGGTGGAAAGGCATTCTAGTAAGAGGAAACAATTTGGGCTAAGATATGGACATGGGACACTGGGGACTTTGAGTTCTAGGTCAGGTCTGGCTGAAACGTGTGATTTTTTGGGAGAAGTGTTTAGAGATAAATTTCAGCAATATAGTTATCTGTATTCGATGGAGTGTGTTTTCCTTAGTAAACTTCCTTATTTGTGAGATTTCTGTTTCCAAAGCCAGAGAACATCCTTGGAGCAGCATGGGCTGGGGCATGTCAGGCTTGTCCAGTACCATTTGTCCAATACTACTGCAGCTTCACTTATTTATGCATTTGCGTGCTTTTGTGAAGTCGTCTCAAATGCAAATACATTGAGGCACTGAAGCAGGAAGAATGGAGAAGGTGGCAGTGCCAGTAGGGGTGACTCTTCCTTAGTGACTCCAGATTGTTTCCCACATGGGGGGTGATCATATAATTTATTTTCCACCCCAGGACACTTTTGAGAGTGCTCTTTTTAATTATGCCAGGACAGCAGGTGTCAACTTTAACTGTCCTGTGAAAACTCGGATGTGTGCTCACCCTTGCCATGTGACAGTTTGGGCCCCCAAGTTTGCCAGATCTGTAGATTTTTCAAGAAGAACCAAAAATTTGATTTGCTATGTGAAATCCCCTCATTTTAAATGACTTCTATTTTTAAAAAACACTATGAGGACCAAACTGGCAGTGCCAGTTTACAAACTCAGCTTTGGGATACATAAGTAAAATTATGGACGTTGAGTTTTTGTAAAAGATTCCCCACCCCACCCTGAAAATGCTATGCATGTTTTGTTAGCTAGCTATTACTGCATAACAAATCACCCCAAAACTCCATCTGTCATTGCTTACAAGTCTGTGGGGCAACTGGGTAGTTCTTTTGATCTTGCTGGATGCACGCGTGCATTTGTGGTCAGCTGTGGCTTGGGTGGGTAGCTCTGCTGATCTTGCCTGGGCTCTCTCAGGTGCTTGGGAGTTGGTTGGCTACAGGTTGGTCTAGGATGGCCTAAGATGGAACAACTGGGCTTCCCTCAACATGGTCCCTCATCAGGCCCAGGCTTGTTTACATGGTGGTGGTAGGCAGAGAGAGTGGGTTCAAACCATGCCTCTTGAGCACGGAACTCACATACCAGCACTTCTGCCACATTCTGCATTGGCCAAAGCAAGTCGTAAGGCCATCCCTGCTCCAAGGCATGGGGAAACAGACTCCAGTCTTTGATGGGAAGAGCTGCAGGCTGCTTTGGAAAGGGCATGAATACAGGGAGAGGTCAAGAACTGAGAATGTTGCCGCAATCCACCTACCACAATTACTGTTCTCATTTTTCAAAATCACGTGCTTTAATAATGGGACAGATAAAGATGCCTTCTTTTTCCCCAGAAAAACGAATCCAGCTGTACATGAAGAGCCTACTTTGTCTGCCAAACCCTCAAAAATGTATGCCTGCCATGCCAGGAGGCCTCACTGTCGTTCAG